TTAATTAAGGGGCAATGGCTGCTGCTAAACTGTAGGTAAAGAGAGTTACAGGTAGTAATTAGAGTGGGAATTTGAGGTATGTGATGCTGGAGTTGTATATATCAGGGACACTACGAATTACTGACATGAGCCCGCCTCCACGCTGGGAATGCAGCTAGCGAGCTCTCTTCGAGCCTTTGCCTTGGAACTGTCTTCCTACCCATAGGTCCCTAAGTAGTTCCTTTTTGGGGATTACCTTACAGGGTTCTAAATGTAAGCCCCAAAAAGGAACTACTTAGGGGCCTATGGGTAGAAATGTGAGCAGGTCAGCATGGAAGAGGCTGTGTCCTCACTGCGCGCTGGGCTCTCAGAAGAAATCGAAACCCTTTTAAGGAACCCTATAGAAAGGACCTTGTGAGGAAGCCTGCAATTAAGAGGTTTCTGGGTTCCAAAAACTGGGCCCTTAGAGTTCAGGCTCAAAACGGTTTCTTCCCGACTCTGGGGGGCGCGTTGTTGGGTTTGCTTGTGGGTTAGTACGTCTTTTCACGCATCTCCCAAAAACTTACCTTTTTAGAAGGGGCGTAGAGGCTCATACAGGTGGGTTCTGCTTCAGTTCGTTCTTGACTATGTAGGGTTTAAGGTTTGGGTTAAGGGTTTAAGGTAGGGCGAGTTCCTGCCTCTGTTCTGATGTAGGCTTTCGGTCTATGTTCACATCTTTGCCTTCCTCTGCAGCATAATCCCTAAACCCCGGACCCATACCCGAATGGCCCCCCTGTTGCCGCTTCTCGTTACTTTCCTCGCCAACTCCTCGGCAGTTCCACTTTCCAGGCATGCATCCCCGAGCTTTCGCCGCAAAATGGCACCTACGCTCAGTTCGAGCAGGCTCTGGAGTGACTTACGTTTTTAGGGGAGTTATGCTCATATGCATATATGCAGAGAGTAAAGAGACAGACAGTCCACATATGGACGAAGGCAACATTTTTATGTGAATACAATGGTGCACGGCATTCATTGAGCGATCATACGCTTAAACCAATCGTTTCGTGATCATTGCCTGGGTTCTTGTTAAGGGAATTCATAAGTTTAAGATACCAGATTAGGGATGCATAATAAACAATATTGCTACCGCATTTATTCTAGCAGCTTAAACCCTCAACAGAACCCAGTTGCGGGACCCCCCAGAACCTTACTGCCCAGTTTTGGCACAGACAGCTAGCATCCAAATTGTTGGGGTTTAGGGTTTATAATCGCGGCACAGGGTCTTCGATTTGCACATCCCAAGACAGGTATGCTGTGCTTTTGCTAGCATTTCTGGGGTGCTGATGGTCCATGTATGAAGGGTGGATGCTGTGTTACTGTCAGAACGGAATGCGTGGCCGGCAAAGACCTTCATCTTAAAGCGTAGAACCAGCAAAACCGAAACCCTACCCCCCCCCCCCCCC